AAAGGGACAAAAGGAGAGGGGCTGTACCCTTAATCTCATGTGAATCAAGGACGCCCGGAACTCTCAAGTCCTGCTCCAATCCCATTATAGAGAAAGGTATGGTCCTGCTACCCAGGGTTTCGGTAGCACCGCTAAGACCCTTGAAGGTACGATTGCCCTCAGGTTTAAACCTCGTGCTGTAACCGAAGTTCGCAAGTTTCCCCGCCGCGTTTGCTATCCAATCGCTACCGTGAACAGTCGAGTTACAGCCCTCATCCAACACGGCGTATACGTGCTTATCCTCGTAGATATTTACTACGGGCAAATCAACCAAAGCCGGATGGATATCTGTGACCCCCTCAGTGAAAGCCACGAAGGCGTGCCTCGTCGCGGAGGCCCTCGAGGAGCGCGATCTCGCCGACGCCACTTCCCAACTGTTGTTGGTCGATGGCGCAGAGTGATCATCTAAGGCCTCTTGCAGGTATGCGAGAAGGTCACCGCGGGATATCACGGGCTCGGTTACGAAGTGACCCTCTATGGTCTCTTGAAACTGGGCAATAGCCGGAACTACTACCTCTACGGGGAGGCTATCCCCCGTGCTGCCGACTATGCTGCGCAGAAGATCGAAGTCCAGGGTGTTGGACTCCCGCAGCACTGTGGCTGCGTCATCCCTAGCCTTTCGCTCGGTCTGCGGCTGCTCATCTAGAAGCATCCCACAAAGCTTGCACTTAATGCGGGAAGTCTTCCTACTGCTACCCGACCTCTCGGTGGAGGTGTGGGGGCATGTGGCCTGATCTATGACAGGCTTCTCTTTCTTCGTCTTGGTGACGGTGCCGCATTTCTTACAGGTCCGCATGTCTATGTATGCGTTACTCCCCGACTTGTTGAACTCCTTGCAACCTCCCCGGCATTTCCGGGGGCCTTCGCTGGACGAAGCAGCTGACGCGGTGAGGCGAACCTCGGGCTGGAAGGGTTCAGGCGGGGGTTCCTGGCTGAGAGGGACATCCCTTCTCGTGATGCTAATGGGGTTATCATCACGCACATCAAAGTATTCCGTGACCCAATCCAAGAAATCGGCCAAATTTATGGATGGGCACTTCTGCGTGCGTCCCCAAAGAACATACCCAGGAAACGTATACAAGACACGCTCATAAGTCAGACCCTTATGCTGACCAAAGGAGAAAACGCGATCGGAACCCTCAGGCGGGCTGTCACGCATGATCCCAGCGGCGGCTGTGCGCCGAAGCTGTGGTGAGAAGAGGGTTTCATTGCCGCGGCCTTTGCCGGTATTGGTCTTTGAGGGAGTCAGCTCAAGGTTGGCTGGGTAACCCTCGAGCCTACCAGCGCTCGCATTCGACAGATGGACACACTCTGTGTCATCCTCCTCCACTGCGGCGAAATACGCCTGAGGCTTCGGCGTCGCCGACTTTGCGGCTGCGTTGGCAGTTCCCCCAGACTGTGCTGGGGTTGTGGTGCCCTTGGGGCCATTGCCCTTACCGCTAAACTTGCAGGCAGCATCTCCGGCCCAATGGCCGATCACACCGCACTTCAGGCACCTACTCTTTGCCTTAAGCTCTGCTAACTTGGCCTTACGGTCAGCAATGGTCAAATTGCTACGCACGACCTTCCCTCCGGATTTTCCGGGGGACTTGCCCTTGTTCTTCCCCTTTCCTTTTCCTTTCGCCTGGGCAAAGGCGGTCTGTGCCGCGTACGCAAGCTGAACTGACTCGGCATAGGAATCATCCAAATCGTCAATCTCAGCTTCATATGCCACTGCCGTATAGGCGTTGAGTTGCAATGCTAGATCCTCATCATCAATCCATTCATCCGCATCATCTCCCCCAGACGCTGTGGCCTGGTATGCTTCTTCGCCGTAGCCGTCACCGTAGCCTTCCGCGGATTCCTGTTGTTCCTGGTAACCATACTCTGCGGCACTACCATCATACCCCATATAGCCGAACTTAGGGTATTGGGGCTTAGCGTCGAAACGTCTCCAGGTCTTACCTGGGCCACTAGGGTCCTTCTGGGTAAGAAGACGTTCCTTCATGTGCACCACTGAGTGATGCTGAACAAGGACGCGTGCGTACTCATCCACGCTGTGTACGCGGGCGGCGGTCTTGACCATTAGCTGCTCGGACCTTTCCAACCCTGAAAGCTCAACAAGGAGATTAGCCCTCATTGCTTCAGAAAGGCGGATATCAGGATCCAGCTCACGCAAGGTCGACCACCACCGCTTTCGGCGGGCTATGTAAGACAACATAGGCTCGCCGGGTTGCTTTGCAAGTGGACCCGTCAGGAGCTGTCCCTGACGGAAAAGTTCGGACGCCTCTTCGGATTGAAGAGGGAAGGCTTGCCTCCTGATTTCTTCTATCAGGTAGTCGACGCCGTCATGGCGAAGCAGACGTTCCAGGCCGACGTCGCGAGCGATGCAAAAAGCATCTCCTCGGAGACCCTCTAGGATCTTGCTAACGCATTCGCTCATGTCGAGCGACTCGTCCTTGACGTCTTGCAAGGTGTACACCGCCGGATCTGTGTCCGGCTCTTGCTCATCGTCGCCCGCCACTTGGCTGGGGTGCGACGGTAGCGACTCCGCATCCTCATCTTCTGCCTCGGACGCGGGCTTAGTCCGTTTTGCGCTGGACGGACTGGCGGGTATACCGCTGCTTCCATCACCATCTGTGGGCGATGCGCTGGTCCCCTGACTTGCCCTGCCACGCCACTTCCTTGGTAACTCGCTCTTGGCCCTTGCCGACTCGGCAAAACGCAGGTCCTTAAGAGCTTCGCGCCGCTGCTTCTCCTTATGCTGCAGCACACGGATCTGTGTCCGGAAGCACCAATCATGGAAGCCAGCAGCCGTACCGTCGTATATGTACGACCCGCTTTTGGTTTCTGCAGGGCTCAGGTTCTGTGACCAGAGATTGGGCTGGTAACGCAAACCTGCCACGCTCATGGCTTCGAGGATAGAAGGGGCCTTTGCGCCGCGACTATCACTACACTACCCAACGGACCCCGGACCACAGGCTCAACGGGGGTGAAACACTAGTGGTTGTCCTCACAGCTCCGCTACCAGTTTGAAGCAGGAACTGGATTAGTGAGTGTCCAACCACACAAACGAGCACACTTTTTGGTCTGAGCCCAAGACGTCTGTCGTACAGGGTGCGTTCAGAACTAACACAAAAACTACGCTCGCATGAGGACATGTCAACACGGCGCTTCAAGACACGGAAATTTCACAGCTTGATTCACCTGAAGCATGCCATGCCATGCCACGCGGCCAGAAACTCTAAGCTCATGCCCCAAGCCATCGAAAAGTCCTTCATGAGAGCCAGGTCCTCCTCCTTTACATGCGTGTCCGGGTAAATGACGTTTTTGCGAGCTTGGACCAGCTCTCTCAAGAATTGGACCTTGAGGCCCTTGTTCCTGCACTGGCACGCGAAGAAGTGAAACGCATGTCTCTGCATTGGCCTCATAGTCGGGCTTAGAGCAGGCTGGCTATGGCATGGCAGTAAGGCGGGTATGGTAGGCACATCCGTGAGATTGAACTACGCTGCTTGACCCGAGACAACGGTCTTTTTGTTGGTGATGTAGATGTCGTAGGCATCCAGATAGCCATTCTGCTTATCTCCCACGACGCAACTCTTCCAGGCATCGTGGCAGCTCCGCATGATGTCACCGTCGACCTGCAAGCGCTCCAGCAGCACGAGCAACTGGCACCGAAATAGCTCGTATTGGCTACGACCCGCAAGGATCCCCGCAGCCTCGGCGAAGGCGGACAAATCTATCCCGAAGAGCTTCGCCGCCTGCACTCAGCGCACGCAGTGACAGCCCCTGAAATTCAACCGGATCCTTCTGTCTTCTTGCCCTGTGGCCTTGGGTAACACCATGGACTTCCCAGCACCGCTGGGCCCGACGATACACAGGGCCGTTGGCTGCTGTGGGCTCGGGACCGGCGACACCTGGTGCAGGCTCGTTGGACACGCTGAAAAGGCGCGTACACTCCGTGTGTGCTCGTCTCATATGGCTGCAAGGTGCCAGGTCAATGCGCGAGGCTTGCCGGCACGCATCGAGCTCTGCCGGCGTGGCGTCTCGGCAAAGCGCAGCCGCCACAGTCTCCGGCGCCTTTTCCTTGGTCCACCCACACAAAGCCTCCTCTTATGCTGGCCACAGGATCGAAGACCGTCTAAACACAGAAAGAAGCCCAGTCTCGTGCCAGCGCCGGCCAGGCTCGGCACAGCCCGCTGCAAAATCCCAGCGAATCCCGGGTCCCGCACGCACCTTTGCGCGACGTCGGGTCTGCATGCAGCGCATATGCGGTGCTGGAGTGCTGAAGCAGCACTATAGCCAGATTTCTCGTTGTGGCCACTGCAAAAGAAACTGCAAAAGAACAAGTACGGTAAATGCCCGGGCGCTGCATCGCGCAGGCTCCGGAGAGCAGAAAGGTCCACGGAAGGCGCTGTGCCTTCCTCGTTTGCTCATTTGGCCACCCTCACGACGCAGCTGGGCTTATAAGCTCATGTTCTCGAGTGTACACTCAAACGAAAACCTTCGCTGCTCTGCCAAGCTTCATTGCTCGTGTAGCCCTGCGGCATAGGACCGGAGGCCAAGCGTCCCAGGTGCTCTTGCGGTTCTCATGTCTGAAGTCTTCTGGAACGCCACAAGGCAGTTATGGATCTCATGTAACTGCTTGAAGGGCTGAGGGGTTTAAAGGCTCAGGGTCCTTGCGCAGGCATGCTCAAGACTCGCGGCTGCACAATGCTCACGAACAACATGCATCTCACAATCCAGCACGTGGGAATGCAGCACGGAAGGACCTTTAATGCTCCTCTTAGCAGATGGGCGGGGGCTTAGCGTAAAGCAGGCATGGGCGATAAGCAGGCACATGAAAGCGAAGCGACAGCTTGCTCGCGCCGAAGTTGCAGCAGCCTATGACCCTCGCGCTTCAGGACATGCGGGCCAAATCTAGAATCTACACAACCGTACTCATACGGTATGCCCTCTTCCTCAGCTGCCCGCCCGGGCGCCTATGTGAGCAAGAAGCTCTCGCTCGTCTCCAGCGGCCTGAGGACAGTTGAAGCCCCTTGCAAGCCTTGCAAATTCCGGCACCCCGTCGCTTCGAGCTATCGTAGAGTTAATGATTTCAAGATCGCGATGCGATCAATCATACTTTGTGCCTTCAGCTGTCACGCTGCACTGGTCTCTGCAAGCTTCAAGCAGCTATATTTTTGCCAGCATCAGTCAGATAGCTACAGTCGAACTTCACATGACCTGCTCACCGGAATCATGATCGCAACGCAGATGACTTTGCATGGAGATCCGTGTCAAGTCGCGCATTTCCCAAGATCCCTGGAAGCTTGAAAGCGCATGCCTCAAGCTGTACTGTGCATATCAACTGGCAAGACACAGAGAAGGAGGTAACTTAAAAATTGAGAGGGGCCAGCAGCAAGGAGACAAGAAGGGAACGAGACTGGAACGAGCCTTGACACAAAGTGCACGACAAAAGCAAGTCAACTGAACTGCTTGCCGACAGTAGAGCACCCAAAAAGCAGAGACACCAAACCAAAACATACCAGAACTCATGCCTGTGAGCTTCAGGACTGTTTGTGGACTACTTCGCCGGCGATGGATCAAGTGGACCTGCATATGTATGCTGTCATGCGCTGTGGGCCATTCAAGAGAGCCCACTTGTGAATTACTTTCCCCGTCCCACACCCAAAGCAACGGAGACCTGAAATTCCATTTCTGGGTGCAGAGCCAGCCCATGCGCATGCAGCCAGCCTGGCAGTGCACCAGGCACGTGCAATTCAGCACCGGAGCCGTCGCGTGATCAGAGTTTGCTGGAGGCTTGACTTGGACACCATGGCACCATGGGTCTAGTTCTTCCATGGAAACAAGCGACCATGATTCTCATGACTCTCAGTACAGGGTGAGCGGCGGTGCTTGCAGGCACTGGCCCCGCCGCACATGCAAGTTGCGCCCCTGGCCCTAGGGCCTTCAGTGATGTTCCAAACCCGATCTGGCTCGGCATCTGTGCTGGTGCAGAAGGCCTCAGAACTCAGATGGAGCTGAGATTGCACTGACGGCCGTAAAGACGGACGAACGACTCTACCGCGGCGGTCTTGACACGCGCAGCTGTCTATCCAGCATACGTGCACAATTCAGTCGAAGAACAAGCACATGCGATTCGAGTCACCGATAGTTGTGGGCATGCTTGTCTTTCAGTCTGGCGTTACTTGTCCGGTCTTCGGGTCAGAACAAACATGACCTTCAGTTCGCAGTCCGTGCACCTGAAATCCTTGAAGAAGGGGCATCTTGAGGCCTAACGTTGCGTCCGATATCTCTACGCCAAGGCGCTATTGACAACAGCTTCCCCCAGGAACGACATGGTTGACCCACGACTATGGAAACGGGGCTCCGCTGGGTAAACTGCAATACTTGGGACACTAGTAGTGAAGCTTCTCGCAGAGGAAGGCCCAAATTGAAAGCTTGCATACGCCCGAAGATTTTGGAATACTATGCTGATCACACATCACTGCTCTGTGCCTCTGCGACACCCTGAGAGGTACCAACCACGAACACCTCGGATGGCTGCATCATGTGCTGGCTGGTATTTGACGACCTCTTCCGCATTTCATGGGGTTGAGTGGACATGTTAATGTTCACTCTCAGGGGCACACACAGAGACGTGAGAGTCCCGAAGTTGGCATTTGAGAATCTTCCGCGTGACCACCTGACCCTCATCAGCCCAAATAACTAGCTGGCCTTGTACTAAGGCAAGCACCACACTTCGTGGCAGACGACTATGTAGTTCCTGATAGGGGCAAGTGAAAATCGTCCAGCTTTTTGTCGAGGGTCGCCATCGCTCAGACGGCTTCCAGAAGAAGGCACTCCTTATGACACCTAAACGCTGACGTACGTTCGAACAAGCGCTTGGTTCAAATCAATGTCAAAGAGCTTCGTGCTGCAGATTGCAGCACCACCACCGCAGCTCGACCCTTTCCCAAGCACAGATACATGACGTGCGGGGAAACAGTTTGCAGAACCCCATCACTAGGTGTCCTGAGCCAGGGAAGACAAGAGGCTCATTGTTCCGGCGCCTGCATTGGAGTGCTTGATGTCTTTCGGATGGCTTCGCTCTTACGTGCGGAATATCAGCTCGGGGAACTTCGGGCAACCCTCGCATCGAGAGCTAGTGGAGTGGAGACAGTGAACAAAACGGATGAACATGAGTAGGCTTGGCGCATAGCTCTTTAACCCCAAAGCCAACTCAAAATCTGACTCTGGACCTGACACGTCACAACCCCCTCGCCCCCAACCCCAGGGCCGGCAAGCCTGGCGTTTCGGCACCGCCAATGATGCAAACCTGGCAGGGTTTCGCCGGGTAATATGCATCAGTTTCCCGCGAAATCGCTCCTCTCACAACTTGCGTTCTGACGTCAAGGCAGAGAGCTTCGCCGCGAGTCTCAGCAGCTTAAACCCTGTCCCTCGACATCGCACGCGGAAGTAAAGCTTGCAATGTCCGGGGCCTATCTGGGAGGCAGAAATCCGTAAACGTGGCGAAAGGCAAAGTAGCCATCCCCGGCTTCGCTTCGCAGCCCGGAGATCACCTGCCAAAAGACTGCACGGCAAAGAGTCCACCGCTCCCAAACACCCTGAATTTGGCGGATTCCGGGCCTCCGCCCAGCTCGCAGTGTTTGCGGCCGGTGCAGAAGCCTGTTTATGTGCGGACTTGCTGGACATGCTGCTACTGCGATCGGCGCCCTAGGCTGCAGTTTGGAACGGGATGCTTCTCGTCTGGCACATCGACTTTTGCTGCACTGACGCTAATCAAGCGCCCTTGCGGCCTCCGGGGTACTCGTCCTCTCCACCTGCATGGTACACTGCAAGCCCTGCAATTTCCACGGCTTGGGCTAGTTTGTAAGTTTAGGCTGTATTCTTGCAATTATACCGTTTCTTCGGGGCGCAGAGTTTCTGACATGCCCCCTATGCATTCCCATCACTTGCAACAGAGCTGACGACTGACGAGCATGATGCGATGTAATAAGGAAGAATGGAAACATGGCGTAACATAGCTTAGCATAGCATAGCATAGTATTCTGCACTATATCATAACTACGACTACGACTATGTTTACAGCTCAAACTATGATTGTACAACCACTACTATAACTACAAGAGCAACTATAGTAACTCTACATAAAGATACTGCCTCTGTAAAAGTAACTATCGCTACATCTACAACTGCGACGATTCTACTACCATTACTGTTACAAGTTACCACCAGGAAGACTTTGAATATGAGAATGAGCCACAATGAATGCCAACACCAATAATCATCCACACACACCAAGCAGTAGAGCAAAAAACAGTACAGTATAGTACAAGTTTCTTGGTCAAGAGGAAAGGTTCTCCATGCAGCGTTTGAGCAGCTTCATCCAGTGAAACGACATGCATGCCAAAGCGGGTTATTCACCCATTGTCACCAGAGTCAAACAATAAGTTGTGTTTTCCTCTGTTGCCGGTCACTTTCCTGCTTCAGGAAAACAGATGCATAATACAGGTGATTACTGTAAGCCTAGAGACCCGCAAGAAAGAAAGAGAGAGAGAGAGAGAGAGAGAGAGAGATAGAGAGAGAGAGAGAGAGAGAGAGAGAGAGAGAGAGAGAGAGAGAGAGAGAGAGAGAGAGAGAGAGAGAGAGAGAGAGAGAGAGAGAGAGAGAGAGAGAGAGAGAGAGCGAGCGAGAGCGAGCGAGCGAGGGAGGGAGGGAGCGAGCGAGAGAGACAAAGTTCCCACACTTCCAACATTTCCAACTGGCAAGGAATTACAGAATGAGCCAAGAAGCTGCCTGGCTCTCCGCCGTCCTTGAGAGGCGTTGTTGATTTGAGGCCAATTTGGGGCGGGCGATTAGCTCGAAAGCAACAGGCCGTTTTGTCCCCTGAGGGCAGCCGCAGGCAGCCTGACAGCTGCGACACGCGCATTTCGTTGGTCCAAGGAATGTCTTCTTTCTTGCTCTGGCGGAATTTCTTGATGCACGATCCCATGTTGTTCTCGGCAGATATTCGTGCTCAGCGCGGCTGCTTGCACCATGTAGTCGCTCGGACGAATGGCTAAATCCGAAGGACTTGTGTTGCCAAGCTTCGGCTGCGGTGGAGGAACCAACACCTCCAGGGTGGTGGGCTTATGCTTGAGCTGTGTCTCAGACTTTGGGCCAGCAGGGCAAGCAACTTCAACGATAGTCCGTGGCACCATCCAATAGTTGCTTTTGAATTTTGAACCAGATCACAAACATTCACTAGAATCGACGCCGGTGTAAGATGACATGCGCAATGCAGAATATCCCAAAATCAGCTGGTACACCTTCTTCTGGATTTCAGAGAACCGGCTTTTCTGCTAGACATGAGGGTCGGATTGACAGCATGCGTCTTTCAGGATCAAGCATCTAGATTCTCAAAGGTCCGGCCACGATACTCCTTCCGTCTGCGTGCAAGGGACCCTCCTGCCTGCGGTGCCGATGCCGATAGTGCCACGAAAGGAGCCTAGCAAGGACACTGCGTGGGGAAACCTATGTGCGATGCCATCACGCCAGAGTCCACGTCTACCATATCCGTTCACCTGCCGCTGACCACTGAGGCCTGCGCAGGCGATTGATAGCCAGCCCACCTTCGCAGGGATTGCTTGCACACGACACATCAAATCTCTGCCACCCAATCTTGAAGGAGCTCTAAGCTGCGCTAGTGCCGCTAGTTAACGGTCCAGCACGGAAGGCCGGAGCCCAAGATTTAGAGAAATGAGTCGCGCATGTAACATGGCATGCAATCAAGGGCAACTCTTCGGCTGGTTAGGCTGGGGCCACTTGGAGAAATCGGGGCGTAGCACTTGGCTTCGCGGTTGCGGCTTCGAGATGCTTCGAAGCTTTGAAGCAGCAGAAGCTAACATAGTGATTGCGAGAGCGAGCTAGCGAGTGAGTCAAGCAGGTTGGAGCGCTGGAGGGAGAGACTGCGCAGCTGGCTTTGTTCATGCGTTTGTATATATGGACATAAAGATTGATGCTAGTATAATATTAGTATACCATAGTATACATATATATATATATATATATATATACATACTCTTACACATACATATACTATACATATGTATAAATATACATATATATACATACAAATCTATATATATATATATATCATATATATACATATATGTATGTATGTTTAAAACACACATACACACACACACACATTCACATAGCTGCACTAAATGTACACATGTATATACACGTAGACACAAACACTTACACGAGGCCGTTTGTGCACGGAGGCTATTGCGAGTGTCTTGTGGTGCACAGGGCTGAAATTTCGTTCAAGATGCCGTGGGGTTGGAGTTGGGTCTTCAGGCTCCCAGAATGCAACAATTTCCTGCCCGACCTCAGCGAGGCACGTGCATCCCGGAGCCACCGCAAACCTTTTATGCCGGTAAATATTCACGCACCCTGCATGCAGCTCTGTATCTCAAACATTGGTGCAGAACCCATTCGCCAACAAGGGGTCCGGACCCTGCTTTGCATCAATACTGATCGACGATTTGATCTTACTGTCACATGCCTGATGAGGTGCTGCACTCAGAGCATTTGACCATTTCCGTAACTCGGGCACAGCTTCTCCGGACAGCTCAGCTGTTTTCGGGGCTTTGTGGTTAACTGCTACCGTAGCACTGCCCGTACCTCCATTGCCAAACATCCAGACAGTACGTGTACTTATGCCCATTTTGCCGAAGACAACTTCTACAGTGCTGAAGCAACAAGTGGCAGTTGAGAAGTTCAGGACATTCTCTACAAGCTTTGCAGCTGTCTCGCGGAGGAACTGCCCGAGTGTGCAAGCAGGCGAAACCATGCCCTAGTCATCACGGGAGGGGGGCATCAGGGGCATTGCCATACAGTAATCTCGGGGTCTGCCGGCTCAGGCGGATGTCGTCCGGTGGAGACTCTGAGGAGCGATGGGTTCTGCAGAGCTACAAGTAAGAGTAGTAACAATAATTGTGGGTGGTAGAGTCTGGTAGAGATAAGATAAGACACAGCCCTGCCAGCAGTCCCTGCTCCCTCCCCCGAATTTTTATGGGAAACGATACAGGCCGAGATGGCTCCAGAGAAGAACTCCAAGAACACGCGCACACAGTTCTCGGGTTTGCGTAGAACTGCTTCCTTCAAAAGCTCTTGGAAAAATAGAAAACCTCAAGTGGTTTGAATTGACTGGACCAAGTTCTATATTCCTTCACAGCTACTCATGGAACTTCATTTACTGCTGCTTCATTTACCACCTGAGTGGGTCCCAAACTGCGTCACTATCCCAACTGTGAGGCACGAGCGAAGATGCCTCGCCCCGGAGGGCAAGAGAAGTAACCTGCAATGGAAAAACATGACACACCATATTAATGTGCTCATGCAAGCATTCAGGTGCGGAAATCTGCATGCATGGCAGCTTCTGAAGATCTGATGCGAAAACCAGCGACGACGATGCTGATGGTAGTGATTCTGTGGCAGGTGGCAGTGATGACGATTGTTATGATGCCGATGATGAAACCGATGATGGCTAAAACGACTGCAACGAGGACGATGACGTCGAGTCCGGCCTTACCAGCACGACGAACGACTTGGACCACGACGGCAGTGGCGACAGTCACGACAGTAACGACCCCGACGGACCACGACTAGGATACGGTGGCAGCGACGACGACCTCAGTCACGACCGCGACCATGGCGACTACGACGACCACGGCCACGACTGAACGGCCCTGAAATAAAGCCCCGCGGCCCAAAGGCCACGACGCCGCGATGCTCATGGTGCTCGCTTGGTGCCCAATCCCAAACGTGTGCCGAAACACCCGCGGCTAATGCCCATGATGCTCGCTTCGGGCCCAACGAAACAGCTGCGGCTGATGCTCCTGATGCCGGCTTCGGGTGCTTGCGCCAACGCAAGCGGGCCCAATTTTGGTTGATGTTTATGATGCTCGCTCGAGAATCGAAGGAGGAAAGCAGGACCTGCAAGTGGAAATGGAGTCAGGGAATCTGTGTCACAACTGCAACTGCATCTACTTCTTGCAGGTATGCTGATCCTGTCGCCACGATTTAGTGTCAATTGCATGGGAATACCGGGTACAGAATTTAAACCCAAAAATCTTGGGCCTTGCAAGCAAGAGACGGACCCCGAAAAGGCTGCCATCATGGGTCCCCGAATCATCGTCCATCTCGACTCCGACCCATTCGCCAGGAGCGAACTGCGTGGTTCCCAAGAAACGGACCGTGCCCTGAGAGCCCTTGAAGACAACGCGCTGGTCCAGGGTGGGTCCGGCGGCCGATGGTGCCGGTGGGGCCGGTGCTGGAGGGGCCGCCGGGGCAGGTGCTGATGGCACAGGCGTTGGAGTAGTGACGCCTGCAGTGGGCACGGCCGCGGGCGAGGAGCTGGTGCCCTTGGGGATCTTCGGAGGCGGCGTCAAGGCAGCGAAGATGACCAGGACGTGCATCACAAGGGAGGCGGCTGCAAGTTTCGGACACGACAAGGCGCCTGGATAAAACCTGGGCTGCCAGCGACCCAATTCATGCGCAAGCAAATCCTGAAATATAACCCATTCATACTTCAAACCTTGCATCCGGGAAGGGAGCCTGCTACAGTAGCATCAGGTGTTTCAACTAAGTCACCGCAGGTGAAGCCAGGATATCTTACGAATCTTACGACTGACGGGAGCAAGACGCTTCAACAAATTCCCGTGGTGGCACTGCATGCAAAGGCGGCAGTTTGCACCCCCGAACCAAGACTACATTTTGGGCTCTTCATTGGGGTCGTGCACGGCCCAGGAGACCTCCAACGAACCATAAGAATCAGCACAGCAAAGCAAGTAACACCTCCATGAACCGATCTGGGTATCAGGGCTAGGGTCGAGAGAACCTGAAAATAATTGCCAGCAAACTTGATGAGACCAGCATGGCCACCGTCGATGCCAGCCAGCTTCAGCGCCACCTCAGGAGCTCCCCGAAAGTTTTTGGATTCTGACGCTAGCCTCAGTGCACAGCTAGACGTCGACAAAGCTCCTGAACGTCTGCAAGCCTGCTTGCATCTGCCTCTGTGCATTCGCACACGCAGATGCGTGCATGTGTGGTGATGTGTGCCGCACGGGGTTGTGTGACAACCTGCTGGTCTGGCTGTCTCCCTGTGTGTTGGTCTGTCTGCCCGTCCATGTTCTGATCCAGCTGATATGCTTGCGACATCTGAACCTCATGACTTACACAGCCTTCCTGCTTTCATGCCAGGATGCCAAGAGAAGGTGCAGGCCAGATGAGCCAATCAGGCCATATCGGAGATATCCTGGCATGCTTCCTCTCTGCCATCCCAAATTGAGAACCCTGCTGGACTCGAGCTCAGCGGCTTGGAGGATTTCGGCTTTCGATGTTTTGCCCGCGCTTCGGACAGACTCTTCGGCCAGGTGACGAAACGTTGTTCCGCTGTGGATGCGCCCGCGCTGAGTAGCATCCTGCTCAGCTAGGGCAGCTAGGGGAATGCTTTTGTGCTTAGACTGAAGCATTTGAGTAGGGCGGTTTGTTCCCTCCGCAGGGCTCCGAAGTGTCAGGTGCCACCCGGCAGAGTATCTGCATGACGAGTTGGGTACTTCCCTGGCGCTTCTGGCTTAGCTTGGAAGCGGCGTGGAATGATCGCTCTCCTTGGGCCCGAGTCGCGCCTTCAGAACGTAAGCAGAGACGGCCGCCAAGAAAGTCCAGGCCGCTGCAGCCCGGCTCCTTTGCAAAGCTGTTAGGCACGGCAGCATGAGCCTCTGAGCCATCCTGAGCAGAATGCCGCATATGACTGGGCCAGCCAGGGAGCAAGCGCTTCCCGAGGATACTCGGGACGGTGGCCATGGGAAAAGAGACGAGCATCGGCAGTGCGGCAAAGACGAGGAACCTTGGAGATCGACGGGGGCGGCTCTTGCGCTTTAAGAGACCTTCTGGATGTAGGAATGGTTGCATTTCTTGACGTTCGGCGAGACAACAGTCAGTAAGGCTACTGCGAACGAGGTGTGCAAAATCCTGGCTCACTGGTATTGAGGTTGAGGATTCCGCCGACTGCGACGGGTCTAACCGGATGTCGGAGGTGGTGCTTCTGAGCGGCTCTGAACAACCCCTGCATGGTCTAAGGCCTAGCCGCAAAGCCAGCAACTTTGTACTTGTACATTCCATACGGCCTGTAGCGACTGTAGCGCTTGTGCCGCATGTCTACCGCAGGGTGGTCCCTTGGCTTAAGGCTTGTGCAACAGGGATTTCTGCATTTCGAGGAGCAGAACGCATGCAAAAGCATACTCGTTCCGACCATCTCCTCCGGGTCTCAGCACCACAGCTGCTATCACAGAAACTGAACGAAAGAGCTCAAACTTCTGTACACGAGGATCTGGGCCACAAACAACGCTCGCAGTCACTGAAGTGTCAACGTGCCGCTGGTTGTATAATCTTCACACACGGCCTTTCGAACTCAACCTCCCGGTCGCGGCCTCCAGCCATACTTTCAGGGTCATCTAAATGGCTGGCGCTTCCTTGGTCAGGATGAGAGTGCGATTCAGGCTGCTGTGGGCTCAGAAGATGCAGTCGACCCATATCGCGGAACAACGTGCTAGAAATTAAT